AGTGGGAAGCAAAAAGGGAGACAGTGTGCCGGGCGCAGTGGCTCACGCCGGTAATCCAAGCACTTTGGGAGGCTGAGAGGGGGTAGATCACCTGAGGTCAGGAGTTCGAGACCAGCCTGGACAACATGAAGAGACCCCCATCTCTACTGAAAATACAAAAATTAGCTGGGCGTGGTGGCAGGCGCCTGTCATCCCAGCTACTCAGGAGGTTGAGGCAGGAGAATCACTTGAACTCAGGAGGTAGAGGTTGCAGTGAGGCGAGATCACACCACTGCATTCCAGCCTAGGCAACAGAGTAAGACTCTGTCTCCAAAAAAAAAGAGAGAGACAGTGATTTTCCTGGAGAGGAAAAGAGAAGATGACAGGACAGCTACAGGGGACAAAAGCCAGTTGAATTGTATGTGTTGACTCTGGGTTGGTTTGGGGTTTGGCTGGTACTTATTCTAGCCTTCATGAGGCAAGGGGCAGCCAGAAGAGGGAGAGAAGTTGAAAAAGGCAGAGAGAGGGAGCCCTCAATGGCTCAATGGCATGATGTCACTGAGAAGATGGGACAGTGAGAAAGGCCAGGGGCCCTTTACCTACAGGGGCAGCAGTGGGGGCAGCCCAGACTTCCTGGCAGAAGGGCAGAAGAACCTGGGTCTTACCAGTCTCATTCCCTTTACTTTGCCCAGTAGGATGCCTTGTAAAATTGAGACCCTGTGTAAATGCTTGCTGTCCTGAATTGGGAGGAAATTGCTACTGGGTGATAGGACCACCCAGTCCACCCTCCTCCTCACCCCTCCCAGGGGTTAACCCAGGCTGATGGAGGAACAAAGGAATCAGGAGTTCCTGATTCCTGTAACCAGATCAGGAAAGCTCTGGGAAGTCAGCCAGCCAGCGACCTGAAAATTACTGTCAAAGAGAGAGCCGCCTCCCTCCTAATAGGGTTTGCTGTTATCAGATGTCGTTACTCCTGTATTCACCAGACTAGAACCTGATATCCCCGGGGGGAAGGGCCGGTCCCCCATTCACCTGTAAAATCTCCACTGCCCACATTGTGCCAGGGGGTGTTGAAAGGGACAAAGGGAATGTAAACTTGCTCACTGCACACTCTCCCTTTGCAGGTGGATTGGCTGTCTTTGGATGTCTACTCCAGTCCAAGGGGATGGGACAAGGTAGCAGGATAGGGTAGCAGGAGATCCTTGAAGCTATAGCAGAATTTTGACTTGGCACTGCTGTGATGGGGAACCACAGACTATTTTAAAGTTGGGGTGTAGTGGCTGGGCATGGTGGTTCATGCCTATAATCCCAGCACTTTGGGAGGCCGAGGCGAATGGATCACAAGATCAAGAGATCAAGACCTTTCTGGCCAACATGGCAAAACCCCGTCTCTACTGAAAAATACAAAAATTAGCCAGGCATGGCGGCATTCACCTATAATCCCAGCTTCTTGGGAGTCTGAGGCAGGAGAATTGCTTGAACCCAGGAGGCAGAGGTTGCAGTGAGCCGAGATCATGCCACTGCACTCCAGCCTGGGCGACAGAGCAAGACTACATCTCAGAAAAAAAAACAAAAAACAAAAATTAGCTGGATGTGGTGGTGCGTGCTTATAATACCGGCTACTCAGGAGGCTAAGGCATGAGAATTGCTTCAACCCCTGAGGCGGAGGTTGCAATGAGCAGAGCTCACGCCCCTGCACTCCAGCCTGGGTGACAGCAAGACTCTGTCTCAAAAAAAAAAAAAAAGTTGGGAGTAGTGATAGAATCAGATCCAGAATGTGAGGCAGGCCTGCTGGTAGTTGTTCATGTCACACACTGCACAGAGGCACCACATCTAAGGGGCACTTTTCACATCAAGACCTTGCAGAGTTGTATGTTTCTTACATTTCCTTGGCAGAAGGCGGTGTATCATTCTAACAAAATCAGTGCGCAATGGCAATTTCCCAATCGATGGGAGTAAAATGTTTTGAGGAAGGGATGTCCTCGCCAGTGGGCACAAAGGCCCATATGGGCTGGTGTCAGCCCTGTGGGAGAAGGCATTGCTCAAGACTGGAAGAGTCTCTCGGGCTTGGCCCCATCTTTTTGGAAACCTCTGTGCCACAAGAGCCAAGTGGAGGAAGAAGCAAATGTACAAGCTGAAGTGCAAAAGAAGATGAGGCGGAGGTCCTCATAAACCACCAGCTTGTGCACCCATGGAGGCACAGGAGAAGAAACGTGGGATGCCAGAGGCTGGAGATGCTGCCGCAAGTTGTTGGCCTGTGTGCTGGTATCTAGAACTTTCTTCTCATGGATCTAGAACTTCTGTCACCATCTGATCGCGAAGACCTCCTTTGAGGAACCCACCTTGCTCATAGCAAAGCATTTTCTGTTGATCTTTGCCCTGGACCTGTGACGTTCTGGGCTATTTCTGTTTTCACTTGTGGTTGAGTGGAATAAGCATACAATAAACCACCTCTTGGCTGGACACGGTGGCTCACACCTATAATCCTAGCACTTTGGGAGCCCTAGGAGGGCGGATCACCTGAAGTCAGGAGTTAGAGACCAGCCTGGCCAGCATGGCAAAACTCCATCTCTACTAAAAGTACAAAAATCAGCTGGGCATGGTGGCGGGCGCCTGCAAGTCCAGCTACTCTGGAGGCTGAGGCATGAGAATCGCTTGAACCCAGGGGGCAGAGGTTGCAGTGAGCTGAGATTGAGCCACTGCCCTCCAGCCTGGGTGATAGAGTGAGACTCAAAAAAAGAAGAAAGAAAAAAAAAAGCCAGTGAGATGCCAGTTACAGCCGTGCCTGGCCCTCCCGCGAGGAGGCAGTGCAGCACAATGACAATGGTATTGGAGCCCCTGGTCCTAAATCCTGGTTAGGAGCTGTACGCCTTTGAGCAATTCATGCCCTTAATCTCCCTAAATCCTGGCATCCCCCCTTTTAATCCCCGCAGGGTGGAAAATGGAAGGACCGGGTTCTGAATAGCGCTCAGTTCAGCGGGAGGGAAGCTGACACTCCAGTGAGCGCCGGCAGCGCCCCCACAGGATTCTACGAGGCAATGCAGGCAAAGTGCCTGCCTGGTACGCGCTCGCGGCCCAACCCACTGTCCGCTTCTTCCTCCAGTGAGTTTGCCCTCCAGGCAATATTTAGTAAGGTCTGGAGATATTTTGGTTGTCACACTTGCGGGGGTGGGTTCCACTGGCATCTAGTGGCCGGAGGCCAGGCGTGCTGCTTCAGCACCCTACAGTGTACAGAACAGCCTCACAGCAAGGAATGAACTGGCCTGCAGGGTCAGCCATGCCAAGCCTGAGAAACCCCAGCCTACTCTCAAACACTTTCAAGCTCCTAGAAAGCAGAAAATGTGGCCGGGCGCAGTGGCTCACGCCTGTAATTCCAGCACTTTGGGAGGCCGAGGCGGGTGGATCACGAGGTCAAGGTATCGAGACCATGCTGGCCAACATGGTGAAACCCCGTCTTTACTAAAAATACAAAAAATTAGCCAGGCGTGGTGGCAGGTGCCTGTAATCCCAGCTACTTGGGGGGCTGAGGCAGGAGAATCACTTGAATCCAAGAGGCGGAGGTTGCAGTGAGCCCAGATCATGCCACTGTACTCCAGCCTGGTGACAGAGAGAGATCCTGTCTCAAAAAAAAAATCTTCAAGCAATTCTCCTGCCTCAGCTTCCCAAGTAGCTGGGAATACAGGCGTCTACCACGACATCTGGGTAATTTTTGTATTTTTAGTAGAGATGGGGTTTACTATTTTGGCCAGGCTTGTCTTGAAATCCTGACCTATGATCCGCTTACCTCAGCCTACCAAAGTTCTGGGATTACAGGCGTGAGCCACCGTGCCCCGTTGAGGTTGTTACTTTCGAATACTTTGTGGACACTCATGTGGATGAGGGCCTGGTCTTGTCCTGTGTGGCCTTCTAGAAGGCCCAGTGCCCTAGCTGGGGCCTGCTGTGAGGCACGTTGGGTCTTCAGAAGGCAGCCTGGCAGGACAAGTGGGAGATGCTAATTACACCATGGGGGCTCCTGTGTGACAGTCAACAGCAGTGCCAAGTCTGGGCCAGATTGGGCCAATAACTAGGGGGCAACCTACCCTGCAGGCAAGGCCTTGCCGACTTGGAAGTTTGGACCAGAGAATACGTGCTGCCCCCTGGTGGGCAGGTAGGTTGTATGCAACAGAGCCCCAGCCTGGAGGCTGGCAGATTTGGTGTTCCGGGAGCCAGAGTATCATGGAAATCAGGGGCACTGGACCGAATCAGAGACAGCCCTGGGTTCAAATCCCAGCATCTCCACCGATTAGCTGTGTTTATTTGCTTAGTTAACCATCCTACAAAGAGCTGTTGAGCTGTGCCAGGAACTGTCTGCTCCCTGTTTGTGGGAGATTAAACCAAAGCAGGCCAGTATAAGAGCATGTGGACAGGCTGGGCACAATGGCTCATGCCTGTAATTCCAGCACTTTGGGAGGCCAAGGCAGGCGGATCACCTGAGGTCAGGAATTCGAGACCAGCCTGACCAGCTTGAAGAAACCCTGTCTCTACTAAAAATACAAAATTGGCTGGGCATGGTGGCACATGCCTGTAATCCCAGCTACTCGGAAGGCTGAGGCAGGAGAATTACTGGAACCTGGGAGGTGGAGATTGCAGTAAGCCAGGATCATACCACTGTACTCCAGCCTGGAGACAGAGCAAGACTCCGCCTAGAAAAAAAAAAAAAACAAAACAAAACAGGAATCTGGCAGGGCATGGTGGCTCACACCTGTAATCCCAGCACTTTGGTAGGCCATGGTGGGTGGGTCACCTGAGGTCAGAAGTTTTGAGACAAGCCTGGCCCACATGGTTAAACCCCGTCTCTACTAAATCTATAAAAATTAGCTGGGCATGGTGGCGGGCATCTGTAATCCCAGCTACTCGGGAGGCTGAGGCAGGAGAATTGCTTGAAACTGGGAGGCAGAGGTTGCAGTGAGCCAAGATCACACCACTGCACTCCAGCCTGGGAGACAGAGCAAGACTTCATCTCAAAAAACAAACAAACGAAGAAACAAACGAAAGGAATTTATGGACTCAGATTTTTATGACAAGCCAAGTTCCATTTTGGCCACATGGTATTCGAGGTGGTCTTGACACTTTGGGGCTTGTCCAACAGGCAGCAGGCTTCATGGATTGGCTCCTTAGGAAAGAGGACTCCCTGGAGAGATGGAGCCCGCCCCACCTTGGTAAGCATTGAGAATTGTAGGTAGAACAGTGGATCCAGGACCAAGCCCTTATTGAAGGGCTACGTGGGGAACAAGGAGCTAGGAAAACAACCAGGAAGAAATGTCAGAGGGAGGAGGGAGAGGAGAGCCACAAGACAGATGAGTCACAGAGGCTAAGGGAAGCTGACCCAGGAAAGGATGCATGACCCACACGTCACATGCAAGGAGATGGTGGGTGCGATGGGGCCACAATGCTGAATGCCCACACTCATGGAGCCCTCACCATGCCCCAGGCTCTGCTCCAAGCTCTGAGCATCCTCACAATCACCTCTGGAGGTCTATCCTATGACAGTCCCAGGTTACAGATGAGGACCCAGGAGAGTGAGGTGACCAAGGGCTGGTGGCTAGTGAAAGGTCTGTTGGAGGCAGAAGAGGCTGAGCCAAGGGTACCATTTCGGCCCCAAATATCTTTTGGAGAACCACCTTCCCTTTTCCTCAGCCAGGAGAGATAGGGCTCTGATTGATCTATGTGGATTGGCAGAGTCCATCCCAAGCCCCTCCTGTCTCACTGATGCATTCAGGGATGTTCACGTGACCTAAATTAAGTCAGTGAGACCCACACTCAGAGAGAGAGGAGCTCTATTGCTTTTCTTTTCTTTTTTGAGATGGAGTCTCAGGCTAGCTGCCCAGGCTGGAGTGCAACGGTGTGATCTTGGCTCACTGCAACCTCTGCCTACCAGGCTCAAGCGATTCTCCTGCCTCAACCTCCCGAGTAGCTGGCAGGCAAGCGCCTGCCACCATGTTCAGGTAATTTTTTTTTTTTTTTTGTATTTTTAGTAGAGATGGGGTTTCACCATGTTGGCCAGGCTGGTCTCGAACTCCTGACCTTGTGATCCGCCTGCCTCGGCCTTCCAAAGTGCTGGGATTACAGGTGTGAGCCACCACGCCCGGCTGAGAGAGAAGAGCTCTAATTTGTTTTGTGCCTAATAGAAAGTTGAGATGGTGTGAAGCCTGGAGCTGCTGCAGTGCCGTCTTGCAGGCATGAGGGGTAACCCTGTCTGAGATTAGGGACACACAGGTTGGGAAGTGGAGCTGTGCTCAGCCACAAGAGCTGGATGACAATGTGACTGCACCTGAACCCGGCATTACCCCTGAACTTTACCATTAGCAAACCAATACATTCCTTGCCTGCCTCAGTGGTTTGGGTTGGTTTTCCAGTTTGCCTCACTAGTTTGGGTTGTCATCAAATGAACGCAAACTGTACCAGTTATCTATGGCCACAATTAAGCTGTGTGAGAAACCACAGAAGCGCAGAGCAATGGAGCTCATGAGGCTGGATCAGTGTTTAGGCTGGACTTGACAGGGCAGTTTTTCTGGTCTCAGCTGGGCTCACACACATGTTGGTCCACTGGGAGGAGTGGGAAAACCAGGCCACCTGTGGAGGCCACCATGACAAACATTTGAGTCACTGTTGCTGTTTTGTGCCTAGAAGCTTTTGGCCATCTAGGATAGGAATTTGAAAAGTGGTTCATTGGCTGGGCTTGGTGGCTCACACCTATAATCCCAGCACTTTGTAAGGCTGAGGTGGGTGGATCACAAGGTCAGGAGTTCGAGACCAGCCTGGCCAAGGTGAAACCCTGTCTCTACTAAAAATACAAAAATTAGCCAGGCACAGTGGCAGGCGCCTGTAATCCCAGCTACTCGGGAGGCTGAGGCAGAAGAATCGCTTGAACCTGGAAGGTGAAGGTTGCAGTAGGCCAAGATTGTGACACTGTACTCTAGCCTGGGCAGCAGAGCAAGATTCCGTCTGAAAAAAAAGAAAAGAAGAAAAGTGGTTGGTGAAACTGACTCAGAGTTTGGATTTTCTGCAAACGCCTCAGAGAAACAGAATTGCAAGAAATGTGTGCATTATGAGAAGCTAGTTTGTTGCCGATTGTCCCTCCGTTTTGGCTTGTGTGCTGTTTCCTTGGGATTAGATCCAGGTGGTTAATTTTTGGCAGCAGCCCTCACAGCTGCTGTGGGGTCCTTTTCAGAACTTTGTCTCAGTGGATTTGTGATGTTGAGGGTCCCATCTATGGTGAGGTCCATCCCTCTGATGTGGTGGCGATCCTTAACAGGCTGATAGGCTCGTTCCTTTGTTCCGTCCCTCCCTTTGTCATCCACCCAACAATCCAGGTCAGATTCAAGTGGGCAAGTGTGTCCCTTTGGCAGCTGTCCACCTGCTGCTGGGCAGAAGAGCTGCTCAGCTAAGTCCAACCCAAATTGCAGAACTGTGAATAAATAAATTGTTTTAATCTACTAAGGTTCGGCGTGGTGTTTTGCAGCAGTAAATAATTCATAAACTAGGCTGGGCACGGTGGCTAAGGCCTGTAATCCCAGCACTTTGGGAGGCCAAGGCGGGTGGATCACCTGAGGTCAAGAGTTTGAGACCAGCCTGACCAACATGGAGAAACCCCGTCTCTACCAAAAATACAAAATTAGCCGGGTGTGGTGTTGCATGCCTGTAATCCCAACTACTAGGGAGGCTGAGGCAGGAGAATCGCTTGAACCCAGGAGTCAGAGGTGGCAGGTCTGACTCGAGGTCACGCCACTGCACTCCAGCCTGAGCAACGAGAGCAAAACTTCGTCTCAAAAAAAAAAAAAATCATAAACAATGTTCTTTAACTTAAAGGAATTGGCTTCCTGCCATAACTGAGTCTCTGGGAATTTACTAGAACAGCAGTTGAGGAGACAAGGATGCCAGCCAGAGGGCTGGTTTTGGCCAGGGCTGTTCACTCCCTTGAGTTTTAACCAGTAATCTATAGATGCTTGGTGATTTCCCATACACGATGGGAAGGGGCTTCTGGTGAGCTCCGGGGACTATGAACTTCAGGGTTTTCAGGTTCTGCCTGCGCACAGCTCAGCCCCAACCTGGAGAGCGCCCGAGGGGGTCTCAAAGAGGGATGTTGACCTTCGTTATCTCCATCGCCTTCATCCCTCCCAGTTCCCTTGATTTCCTTTTATTTCATTTTGCCTTCTGGCTGCAATAAAGCTTTCTTTCTTTCTTTTATTATTATTATTAATATATATATTTTTTTTTTGAGACGGAGTTTCGTTCTTGTTACCCAGGCTGGAGTGCAATGGCGCGATCTCGGCTCACTGCAACCTCCGCCTCCTGGGTTCAGGCAATTCTCCTGCCTCAGCCTCCTAAGTAGCTGGGATTACAGGCACGTGCCCAGCTAATTTTTGTATTTTTTTTTTTTAGTAGAGACGGGGTTGACCAGTATGGTCTCAATCTCTTGACCTCGTGATCCACCCGCCTCAGCCTCCCAAAGTGCTGGGATTATAGGCGTGAGCCACCGCGCCCGACCAAAATACACATTATTTTCAAACAAATATGGGACATACATCAAGATAGACTAGATGATGCCAGTTAAAACAACTTCATAAACTCAAAAGGACTTAACCACTTAACAGAATATTTTCTAGACCATGAAATTAAATTAGAAATAAAAAATAAGTAATATAGCTAAAGCGTCTCCAAATACTTGGGAATTAACCAACACACTTATAAATAACCATGTGTTGACCCTGCATGGTAGCTCACACCTGTAATGCCAGCACTTTGGGAGGCCAAGGCAGGCAGATCACCTGAGGTCAGTAGTTCAAGACCAACGTGGCCAACATGGTGAAACCCCATATCTACTAAAAAATACAAAAATTAGCCAGGCATGGTGGTGGGCAACTGTAATCGCAGCTACTCAGGAGGCGGAGGCAGGGAGAATTGCTTGAACCCGGGAGGTGGAGGTTACAGTGAGCTGAGATTGGGCCACTGCACTCCAGCCTGGGCAACAGAGGCAGACTCTGTCTCAAAAAAAAAATAAATAAATAAATAAATAAATAAATAAAATAATTAAAATAAATAACCATGTGTCAAAAAGAAACCACAAGAGATATTAGAAAATATTTTAAACTAAATAATAATACAAATACATATCAAAACTCATGAGATGCCGCTAAAACAGTGCATAGAGGAAAATTTATAGGTTTATATTCATATATTAGAAAATGTGTTTAAAAGCATAATTTAAGTTGCTAAATAAAAATAACAAAAAATTAAACTTGAAAAGTAGAGGAGAAAAAATATTTAAGAGCAGAAATTAATAAAATGAGAATGGATAAATAAGGAAAATCAACAAAGCCAAAAGTTAAATTTTTTTTTTTTTTGAGATGGAGTTCCGCCACCGCGCCCGGCCCAAAAGTTAAATTTTTAAAAACATAAATAAAATGGATAACCCCCTTGTGAAACTGATTAAAAAAAAATAAGCAAAAACTTAAATTATAAATATAAGAAATAGGAGGAGAGATACCTACAATTATTACCGACATTAAAAGCATATTGCCTTGAACACTTTGGGAGGCTGACGCGGGTGGATCATGAGGTTAAGAGATCAAGAACATCCTGGTCAACATAGTAAAACCCCATCTCTACTAAAAATACAAAAATTAGCTGGGCATGGTGGCGCGTGCTTGTAATCCCAGCTATTCAGGAGGCTGAGGCAGGAGATTGCCTGAACCCAGGAGGCAGAGGTTGCGGTGAGCCGAGATCGCGCCATTGCACTCCAGCCCAGGTAACAAGAGTGAAACTCCATCTCAAAAAAAAAAAAGCATATTAAGGGGCCTGGCATACTGCCTTATCCCTGTAATCCCAGCACTTTAGGAAGCCAAGGCCGGTGGATTACTTGAGGTCAGGAGTTCAAGACCAGCCTGTCCAACGTGGTAAAACCTTGTCTCTACTAAAAATACAAAATTTAGCCAGGCCTGGTGGAGTGCACCTGTGGTCCCAGCTACTTGGGAGGCTGAGGTACAAGAGTTGGGTGGACCCAGGAGGTGGAGGTTGCAGTGAGCTGATATCATGCCACTGGACTCCAGCCTGGGTAACAGAACAAGACTGTGTCTTACAAAAAAAAAAAAATATATATATATATATATTAAGGGAGTAATGTTAACAAATCGCCCACAATTTGACAACTTGATTAAATGGACAATTCAATGAAAATAAAGCTTACTAAATTGACACAAAAAAGGAAAAGAAAATTGAAATAGCCCTATATCTAAAA